CAGCAATACATTCTTTAATATGAAGCTTCAACACAGAGTTTCCTGGAGACATCCAAGATCCAAGCACTGGCATCAGCTCGATTTGATCCTCACTGGAGGCTCTAGCCTTCCTAGTATTATGATCACACAGAGTTATCAGGGTGCTGATTGCGATACTGATCACTCCCTGGTGTGTAGTAGAGTAAAACAGCGAATAAAGAGATTTTATCACACGAAAAAGGAAGGAAGACCACGTACTGATATCAGCAAGACTCACGATCAGAGAAAAGTAGAGGAATTTGCCCAAGCGCTTGAGAAACCCTTCCAAGCCCAGCTTATGCAAATGCACCTAAACAATGGGAACAATTCAAGAATGCTGTTTATAACACTGCCTCATCCACATTTGGCAAGAAGACCAAAAAGACGGCAGACTGGTTTGAAGCCTGTTTGGAGGGGTTAATGCCAGCCACCGAGGATAAGAGGAGAGTTCTAGAAGCATACAAAGCCTGTCCTAGTGAGTACAACTTGCAGGTTCTTCGACTTGCTCATAGTAAAGTCCAACAGACTGCCAGATGTTCCAACGATTATTGGCTTCAGCTCGGTTTTCAGATACAGATAGCAGTGGACACAGGTAACATCAGAAATCTGCTCCTTTGAAATCTGCTACAGGACCGAGCACAGCAGATGGAACGCTGGGTGCAGCACTACTCTGAGCTATGTTCCAGAGAGAATGTAGTAACTGAAGCGGCATTAATTAACATTGAGTGCCTGCCTGTCTTGGAAGAGTTGGACAGCGAACCAACTTCAGCAGAAATAAAAGCGGCCTTGGATTCCCTCGCCTCTGGCAAAGCACCCGGGAAGGATAGGACAACATCCCTGCTGAAGTGCTGTAAAGAGATCATCACCACCGAGCTGTATGAAATCTTTTGTCTCTGCTGGAGGGAAAGTGGAGTACCACAGGACATGAAGGATGCAAAACTTGTCACATTGTATAAGAACAAAGGCGACAGGGCGACTGCAATAACTATTGTGGCATCTCTCTTCTCAGCGTTGTCGGGAAGCTGCTTGCCCGTGTTGTGCTGAAGAGGCTCCAGGTGCTTGCAGACAGAGACTATCCAGAATTACAATAGGGATTTCAAGCTAATAGATCCACCACTGACATGGTATTTTCCCTCAGACAGTTGCAGGAGAAATGTAGGGAACAACAACCACTCTCTGTGGCCTTCACAGATCTCACAAAGGCCTTTGATTTGGTTAGCAGGGACGGCCTTTTTAAAATCCTTCTCAAGACTGGATGTCCACCTTGACTCCTTAACATCATCAGATACTTTCATGAGGACATGAAGGGCATATCCTAGAACGAGCTGGAATTTTTAGCATGTATACGTTACTGAAACAGCGACATCTACATTGGCTCGGGCATGTCATGAGAATGGCTGATGGTTGGATTCCAAATGATCTCCTGTATGGAGAATTAGTGCAGAGAAATCGGCCCAGAGGGAGACCACACCTCCGATACCAGGATAACTGCAAGCGGGATCTGAAGGCCATAGGAATATCTCAACAGATGGGAAACCTTGACATCTGAGCGTTCAGCCTTGAGGCAGGCAGTGCAGCAGGGCCTCTCCCAATCTGAAGAGACACTTGTTCAGTAGGTTGCAGCAAAGCAGCAGTCCCGAAACCAGCAAAACCAGGGAGCTGGACAGGGGGCAGATTGTATTTGCCTTAGTATTGAAGGGATTGTCACTCTCAAATTGCTCTTCTCAGCCGCACTAGATGCTCTTCCAAGTCCTCTATTCAGAGCACACTACCATAGTAGCTGAAGACTGAAGGATGCCTAATCTAACTGCACAATCCCGTTTTTGTCTGTATTTTTCTCATACTGCCTTTATGGTCATGGCAAAAAAGAAGAAAGATTGAGAATGGCTGATTTAGAAGAAAGGAAAGAATGATATGTGCAATACTATCACACATATAAATATATCTTCTGACTAAACAGGCATTTGTCCCACGGTATGGTCCACTGTGGGGAAAAGATGGTTCACTCCTTTGCTAGAGCAAACCAGCACATCTCCATAGCAGTCTGGATCCCTGTCAGGGTCTACTGTTTTTTAGTTGTTTTTGATCACTTTGCTTGTTTTGTTTCCAGGATGTGTGATCACTAGGATAAAAACAAAACAGAGCTTGCTGCTTTAATTTCCAAACTGTTTTCAATTTCCTGATATCATTAGTGGCTTAAACACACAGCTTAGCCACTTAATGATATCAGGAAATCAGGTAATTCCTGAATCTAGATGGGTAAAAATGAAATTTAAAACTTCCTTTCTCTGCTCCTCCATGAAGGAACAAAGAGAAGAAGCAAAGTTTTTTTTTTTTTTAAAAAACCGTGTTATACTGATGCGCCCTACCTTTTAGAATTTTCTTTAAATTGAAAGATATCTCCCAATGGCAGGAGGAGATAGGCATGAGCAAGGAGCGGCATTTTTCTTCTTTTATTTTCTTTCCTTTTCTTAAGGGAAGCAAGCTAAATAGGACTGTGTGAGGTAAATCTGCTATCTGGATGCAGGGATCACACCAAATGGCATAATAGATCTCCACCCAAACTTAAGCAACCCAATCTGCTCCAAATGAGCTACCTAGCTAAGCCTGCAGTCCTTGCTATCAAAGGCAGAAAGTGAGTATCAAATAGTCTTATGAATTCATAAACTCCTGACTTTTGAATGATTAAACCATAACCCCAGAAAAAGGGCATCAGGGTCCATCTTCTCCAGAATATAGTCTGCTGCTTTTCTTGATAATTATTGTTCAAAATCAGAATGCTACACCATCCTTAATAAAAAGAGATTTCACAAGGATATCGCCCAAGTTACATTCAGTGGCTCAAATCCTGTGGACTCACCAAGTCCTCACTGATTCAATGGCCCTCCACTAGTTGCAACATACAGTACTATGCTAAGCAACAGGATTTTGGCCACTGTATAACTATGATATAGGGAACAATTAATATCAAGATAGAAATAGTTCCTTACTAACACATTATATAGCTGGATTTACTGATTGTTGTCACAAGAATTGCATTTATAAAAAGAAAAGCTTGAAATATACTATATTCAAGGTCAGTGTGGGTAAGCTGTTTGGCAACTTAACAGTTTCTGTGTTTGGAGATGTGTGCTAAATTAAAGAGTTTCCAGACCATAAATATTTGAATGCCTTTATTTTAAACCTTTATTCTAGCTAAGCCTTAACAAAAACTGCACTCCCCCCTCCTTGGCATCAAGCTACAATGCAGGACTTTAACAGATACAAGGCTTGCTGAAAGTAAGGAACATTTTTGGAATGTTACCTCAAAGCGTAATATTTATGTACAAATGCAAGAATAAGTGCAATTATGCTTTCAGAAAGACAGTCTGTTAAGTCCGGGATTTCCAAAAATAATTCTTTCGTATACATTCCATTGGTTGTTTATGATCTGAGACCTACTTGAAACATTCAAAATTATATAAAACACACATCATCAATTCTAAGCACTTTTCTGAATTATTCAACCAAAGAAAAATGAAGCTAAAAGTTCCACACACAAAATAACAGTGTGCCAAACTCGATTGGTGTCAAAAGATTTCCATAATTGGATGAGCCAGTTCAAATCATGAGAAAAAGAACATAAAAGATGGGTTCCACTTACTGCTTCTATAAAAGGACATTTATTGTTGAATGTAATGTTCCTAATGTTTTCACAAAATGGCTTGGTCCAGACAGAGCACACCTTGGTACTATGTGAATGCACCTTGTGCTCACATACTTCCTTGTTCCCCTCGCAGGACCAAACTCAATTGGTTACTTCCATTTTGGTGCAAGCTACAGCTTTTCGTTCCATCTTAATGACCTGTCCAGAGCTGCCAATGACAAGAGCTAGGATCGTTTAGATCTGTGCAGGGCTTCTATGTATAGCTTGGCACATCTTCCAGGCACTGAGATACTGAAAGACCGCACTTGATTCTCAGGTACAAGAAAGCAAGATGGTTATTCATGTAGCATGTGCAGGATACACGGGGTGGGGGTGGGGGTGGGGCGGTAACCACTGCCCTTACCACAAACCAGCAATGAAATTCAGATTAAAAGAACCAGGAACAATGATAAACACTTCATAAGGATCACAACAGTCATAACCAAACTGTATAATCTGAAATGTTAATTCAAAAAAAAAAAAAGCATCTGGAGATATATCTGGAGATATAAACTGACAATAAAGAAAGGTTAAGGAAGGCACACAACTTTTCTCTGCTAACCATTTTCATCCATTCTGAGCATTCACACTAAAAGGTGGCCTAGAAATGTCATCAATGTGTTTTAAACATACCGTGTTGCATGTGCTACCTTGAAGAGCATTTGGCTCAGGACAAATCACCCCTAAGAGACGCAGTGGCAGCAGGAAACAGCTGTCTGTGATGGTGGGTGGCATGGAATCCCTGTGGGATCTTGCTGCGTCTATAGCATTTTCAGAGCAGTTTTTCAGCTTTGAGGCTGAAATGCTGATTACATGAAACATTTACAGTATTTCAATTGCAAGATTAAGTATTTGGGTACTTACGGCCAATATTATCTGTGTTCCTTCTGCTCATCGAGCATTTGACATACATAAGCTATTTTTTTCATGGTAACTCAAACCTGGTCTTTTAATGCAAGTGTATTACAATACCAGCTTAGAGTGTATCTATCCTACATAATTACAGCACTTTGATATTAGTTCAACTATCATGGCTCCGTCCTTGAGAATTCTGAGATTTGTGTCTTGCTGAGATCTTTAAATGGGAGAACACTAGTGCTCTTTAGCAGGGAGATCCATTCCCTCACTAACTACAAACTCCGGGATTCCACCGGATGCAGGGACAAGCAGTGGAAATGCTATCAAACTGATAACTGTGCAGCACAGAGACACTCTTAATTTATTAAATGCAAAATGCCAAGATTGCAGTGCCAACAAGAGCTTCAAAACAAGGGTTCTTAATGATAAGATGTCTCACCTGTCACCTCCAGCTTGTCACCATTCACTTCAGCCTTCAAGTAGATCCTCCCCCTTTTTTCTGTGTGATCCATCCCACAAAGACTTGGGACATTGATTACACACTGCTTGTGAACATTCATATCACAGGCTGCAAAAAAGAAGGAGGAGGAGGAAGGAGAAGAAGAGAAAGAAAGAATTCACCTTCTGTGTGACCAAATATTAGGTATGTAGTCATAAACACATTGCCTTATCATAGCTACTACTGGCGAACAATAGGCATGCAAACACTTTGCTGTTTTCCTTTAAATGGCCAGGATACCCATGACGATGGGAAATGTTTGGAACCCAGGCAAAAATGTTCTATCTTGAGTTATTATTCTTATTTATTTACTCTTTATATCACATATTTTCCTCAGCAAAGCTATATAAACAGCCCCCTTTGCCCTCACTTCCCCCTCACAGCAATGCCTATGAAGTATGTCAGGGTGAAAGAGTGCAACTGGCCCACGATTACTCTGTGAACCTCATGGCCAAGTGAGGATTTGAATCTGGGCTCCCTGAGTAGCCAGCCATCTAATATTCTGTTCCCAGCCCCACGCTGGCAAAAAATAATCCGTACTTTGATCTTTTCCTTTGCAAGGCAAGAACGAAAAGCCAAATCAAAAGCAGGATTTTGAACTGGAAAACTGTGACTTCTCTTCCCTTCCAGTGAAAGAAATTTGTGGAGCGAGCGGTGGCAGGCCCATATGGTTGGCTTTGGACTGAAGAGGATGAATTCTGGTCCAGATGTGGGAGAACTCTAACAGATGAAACATCTGGGAAGGAGTCCAATATATGAGGGAAGTTCTCAAAGACTACAAAAAGGGGAATGGCATACAAGAATGTCAATAGCAACAATAGGGATGAAGAAAGAGAAAGACAGAAGAAAATTAAGTAGCTGTGACTGTACAACACACAGAAAAAGTGTTAAGATTTTGTGAGCATTTCCCCCATATGTGCATATGAGAAAATGCTAACATGGGAATTAAGATGAAAGAAAAATAAAAGTGTGGTTAACCAGCAAACAACAAGCAGCACCATTTTGTTCTTATTTGTCAGTTTCCTTTCTGATCACACCCAATATGTCAAGTCCTCTTTCATCTGGAGAGGGGTAAAAAAAATACACACATTTCTGGCACCATTCAAAGGAAGAAAGTGGGCTCCACCCGGCTGTCTGTAAATAACAAGCCAAACTTTCAGAGAAAACATTTCAGGGAAGAGAGACATGCTTGGTGAAATGTGGGACGTGGTGAAATAAGGAGCAGTCTCCCAAATCCTTTCCCCTCATGTGCATGGTTAAGAGGAATTAAGATCTACATATAAATAACAAAGAAGAATGAAAGGTAAGAACAAAATTCTGCTTTTGGCTTTGAGGAACAAGATAACAATCCAACTTTTCCTACTTTTAACCATGAGATACGAGAATCTCTGAAGCACTATGGAACTACAAGGAGAGATTTAAAACCAAAATCCTGTTGTGAAAATTCCAAGCATAGAGGGTTTACTTGTAGTTCACAGAGGGAACAAGCGCACAAGTGGACACTTGGCTGCCTCCCTCACCCAAGGACACAGAGAACTGCAGTTCTCGGCATATGTACAATGCATGAAATCAACAGGATTTTGGCAAAAGTCTTTAGTGCTAAAGGAAACTGTAAGTCCCAACTAGAATAAACCCATTGAATGAAGGGAATATGTTAATTATACACTAATATAGGACCCATTCTCATTAAGACTAACAGCAGGATTTATTCCACAAGCACTGAGACACATAAGAAGAATACTTTGGTGAAGGATGTTATTTTTATTTCTCAAATTAAAAAGTTGCTGTCATCCAAGACACACCAGTGGAGGGAGTCATCTAAAGCCACTGGAATTTCTTAATCAGAGAGGGGAGATGTCAACAAATAGAGAAGCCACTGAATTTCCTGAAGTGCTTCTAAAGCTAACATGCAGCCCAGGACATGAATCTATTCTATTTAGCAACTTGTCACCCTACCCTAGTCAAATCAGCGGGTTGTTCCCTGCACCTAGAATGATTTGTCTGTCTATTTTCTATAACTTTCAAAGATTTTAGAAATTATTCATTCATTGTCTTCTGTAGCATTTTTTTTCAGGAATGTGGCAAGCAGGATGGTAATACAAATTAGCACAAAAAAGTGCTAGCGCAACATATTTTAAAGGTGTAAGAAATTGAGTTATTGCACATTTAGGCTTTATGGCAGGAATGGCCACATGTACCCATCCCAGATCTCCTATGCTCCATCCAAACCCAAATATTTTTCTCTTTAAAATATGCATTTTTAAAAAACAGAGGAAGCCTCATGCCCTCTAGTTGCTAGTTAAATTCCTGAAAGTACAAGTATTACAAGTATTACAATATATTTTGGATGGTTGGGCAGGGGAGAAAAGGGGTTTCTGAGAGAAAAAGAAAGCTCAAAAAGAAATGGGGCAACAGAGAGTCTTGAAGGTTGCTGAGCTGACCACGTAAATCATGTAGGATGCCTTTTGCCCACTCACGCTTTATGGGCAGTGCTACACTCAGCACCTTTGTAGCATCACTTTAGAAATGGCCGGGATTGTATGTCATGGTGGTGAGCTTAGGCAGGAGAGAAATGTTCATGCAGAAGTGGAGGGAAACTCCTGGTGGGCAGGAGAAATTAGCATAATCCTTCCTACTCTCTGGCTTACTCCAGAGAACTTGAAGGGAAATCTGCAACAGAAATAAACAGTTTATCTCAAAGCTCATTATAAGATAGCCGATTTTGAACCCTGTATCTGATGAATCTTCGAATGCGTGGGGGAATTACATGATGTGCATTTATTTAAGATGGAAGATGTTTGAAAAGCAGTGATCTGTGAACAAATGGCTCACACAAGGAAATGCGAGAAGTAAAAGAGACATGCATCTTCACAGAAATCAGTCTCCCACAAGAAAGATTTCCCCATAAATAAATAAATAAATATAATAAATAAAATAAAATTTCCTCTGCTTGGAAAACTGAAGCAATTTCTTACCACTGGACTTGATAAGAACAAGCCTCTAAGGAATCCCCAAAGCGCTTGTAAGCTGTCTAATTAGATATAGTGGTGCCTCGCTTAGCAATGTTAATTCGTTCCAAACAAATCGCTGCTAAGCGATTTCATCGCTAAGCGAAATGCGGTTTCTCATTGAAATGCATTGAAAACCGGATAATCCGTTCCAATAGGAACGAATTGCCATCCTTAAGCAAAAATCGCCATAGGAAACATCGCTAAGCGAAATGTGGTTCTCCAGTTGAAATGCATTGAAACCTATTCAATGCATCTCAATGGGGGAAAAATACAACAAATTAAAAAAGAGTCAGAACAAAGTCAAATTTGGTTAACAAAGGGTTTATTAAGTGCACTTTATGATTTCAAACATTTTAAACAATAAACTTTAACTTTATAAATAACAGAAAAACATTTAAAAACAGCAAACATGAGGCTGTTTAAACCATCGTTAAGCGAAACAGGGGACCCAAAATTTAATCGCTATGTGAAGCATGGTTCCCAACCATCGCTAAGCGAAAATCGGCCAGAGGGACCATCGCTAAACAAAGTGCAAAAACGCTCCGAAAAAGACGTCGCTAAGCGATTTCATTGCTAAACGGCGCGCCCGTTAAGCCAGGCACCACTGTATATGCAAAAACACACTATATTTAAATACATTGTGGATGGGTTCAACACAGCACACATTGGGAGAAACAGAGGTTTGTGTCCTTTCTGCCAACAACTTTTTAAAAATCATCTCTCTGTTGTAACAAGAGCTTTGCATCCTGAGAAGATTCAGCAGGTTAGCCTCTGTTGAGAACCCGAGACTCAGCCATAGGTTCTACTACCCAATTACCAAAAGCCTGAACATCATAACAGATGGCTTCAAGAGTCATATTCATTTCAAAGGGTACCTATAGTACATGCTTCTGTCACGCCTGAAAAAAAAAAGTAAGCTAACAGGCAGCAAAAGAGGGAAAGGTCTGAAGCAAAACAAAATGAAATGAAAACCCTTGCCACTGTAAGCCTGTCCATGGCATATTGACTTCTTCAGGTTTTTCTTTGAAGAAGGCCATAAACAGAAATTAAACATGAGAAACAAATGAAAAAGCTTCATAGGAACCTGCCAGGTGCAGAAAACTGAGAATTCCAGACTGTTCAGGGCAAATTTATAAAAGTTATAAAATATTCTAGCAAGAAGAACAAGCCTATTGTATTATATCAAAGTGTTTATCAGGTCTCTGGTATCTTGTCCAATGAAATCCTTGAGCAACAAAGAAGTTAGAAAACCTTTTGAGACCAACGGAGGTACCGATAAGATTCTCCTGTTTTTGTAATACTAGCTGGCTTCTGAACTGCAGTCTTGGCAGGAGGCTCTGGGCACATTTGCAGCTCCACTAGGCTGGTGCAGGTGAAACCAAGGACGCCAGTCAACATAGAACACTGTGTGAACTTTGTCCTGGAAACACAGAGCCTTGTTTTGCAAAAGGTCCAAATTACCAAGGGCCAAAGGTATCCATTTGTAGGAACGGATCTGCATAGAGCAGGCCAGCAATTCCCTCTGTTTGCAAGCTGACAGTGGTGTGACGATTATTGAAATCCAATTCAAGAATACTGGTGCCTTGCAGTGGGGAGCTTCTCTTACATGTTTGCCTTTCACCCCTACATCTGATGACAAATACACAAGCAGAGAACACAGCTTCTTCTATATTGTTTCTGTTAAGGGACTGAGCAGATATCTCCTAGGGCAGTGGTGGGCAATTAACTGGCCCTCCAGATTACAGTTCCCAGCATCTTTCACCACTGGTTATTTGGCCTACAGTCAAAGGGAGACTCAATCCAACAACATCTGGAGAACCCTTGTGTCTACTGTACTGGGTCAGAATGTTTCCTCTACATTCATAACTTTGCTTTGGTATGAGGACACAACAACTTCCTCTTATTATTCAGAAACAGGTGAGGACAATGACAAAACGATATTGTTGCTTTCTGGCTTTATACTCCAGGCCAACTGCTGACTGAAGGTAGCAGTTATTGTTTCCAATAAGTTTCCATTAACATTTTCCTATAGCAAAATCCACATGGGAAAAGGCTCCATTCATTTAAACTAGTTTGCTAAATGTGTTCAAATATTAATCTGAAATGGACAGTCGATGCTTGTACTGAAATGATATATTTCTCCTATGAGGCTGGCCAATTCTTAATGGTTTCATCAATATTTTAAAATGTGTGTTTTAACAGTATGAGAGAGGAAAAAAATATGCTTACTGTCACATTTCATCCCTTGGTGAATAAGTCCATAAAGCAATGACCCACAATGGTCACAGAATGTTGGGCTTCCATAGGTGTGGATTTTGAACTTGTGCTTGCTTCTGGGATCCTGAAATCAGGAAAAATAAATAAATCAGGCACCATAGCTTATTTAACAAATAAAAATTAATCTGCAAACCTATTCACACAGCACTGAAAAGGACACCATACACCCTAGCTGTTTCTGAAGTAGAAACATCTCAGCATCATTGTATAACGCATATGTTCACTGAAAAGTCTGGGCAATCCCTTTCTTTCTTATGATAGATTTTAAGAGTATTTTATTTTAAAATAAAGCAGAATTAAATTCATCTGAAGTTGAGATTCTGTGATGACACTCTAACAGTAACAGTGATAACTCTTAAAGATACAGTGATGATGATAAGAGAGATTCACAAAAAACATGGAGTCTTCTTGAATGTGAACCTTCTCTTCAAAACCTGTGATGTGGCAGTCTAAGTGTCTCAAATGGCATGGAGGGCCAATTCCCACCAACAACTTAACTCTACAGACTTGTTCCTCTGTTTCATTCAATTGACTTCCCATACTATGTGGCCTGCATTTTGCTTTCGTACAGATGAATATCAGTGTTTTGCTTCTAGATTCTGCACAGATACAAAGCAGTATTTCTTCACTTTCCATGTTTTTAACCAGAAACAGCAGGCAAACATATTTCTTCAGGTAAAATTATTTTATGTATCAGGATTAAACCAGTACTAACATAAACCTATCCAATTTGTCTACATGGAACAGAAACATCTGAAGTGTTCACAAACTTGTGTAAAGGCACCTATGTCAATTTATAATAGGAAACTATAGCAACTTATAGCTCGTTTATTCTTAGTAAGGACTGAGAATCTACTCCAGTATATCTGAAATATATTTATTTATTTATTTATTTATTTAACTTATATGAAGTGTAATAGGTAGTATAGCAGAGTCAGAGCTCACGGAGTCAAAGGAGTAGCAGGATTTATGATATAATCAGTCACTTCTCTCAATGTTTCCTGTTCTCTTTGATCTTAGTTATAACCTTCTCAGAAGCTGGAAGAAAAATGGATTTCTCGAGGAATAGTATACTATGGCATGCAAGTTATCCCTGTCATAATGCAAAATATGTGAGGGTTGTTTGGTTTTATATGGTAAATTTAAAGCCATTAACTTTACAAAAGACCTGCTACTGAACTGTTAATATGTACTGATCTAACACACTGCACATTTGGACTCTTCTTATGGAGTGGGTTGGCTACGGTACTGTCATGATGAGCACCTGCATTTCTAGATTTCGGTCTGCACCACTGCAAACCAGCTGATTAATCCCAGATGCACATGTTCAGTTGAGCTGCTGCAGACCTTGCCTTCTGCGATGCAGCTCTATGGGTGGAAAGGCCACTTACCATTTTTAATTTGAACTGTGCCTTAGATAAGACCCAAGCTGCTTTTGAAGCTGCACCTTACATATATAACAATAGCCTACAGAACAGCTATTATTTTCATACCATTAGCTCCATAAATCTTTCCACACATGGACTTTTAAAGTCTCTACTATGTAGAATGAGAATGAGTCTGAAAATACTTATATGCCCCTCTAGAGGGAGGCAGAACAACATATAGGAAAATACAATAAAACAATTAATTCTAAATTTATATTCACTCATCTGGTTTGATCATCCTTTACAATCAGTTCTTCCATAATTTTACATTTTGGCAAAATCCTGTTGGTTAACCTTGCATGGCACAACTCAGATCAGGCATTGGATGCACTTAATTAAAGGTAATTAAAAGCCCCCCATCCCCTTTCCTTTCAGGTTGTGAGGCTCCCTAGGTCTACCTTTTGCAGCCTCTGGATACAAGGAGTGTCAACAACAACAACAACAACAACAACAACAACAACAACAACAACAACAAGACTGCCAGATTGCCACTGGTGGTCCCAATCCAGGTGGCAACAATCCTGCAGTGATTTTATTATTATTATTATTAAAGGCTACCTGAGATTCCCAAAGGCTTCCTCAGGGCAAACAGGAGCCCAAGGGAGTCTCAAAAATTAAAAGAAGTGATATAGAAACTTTTGGTTACCTTAAATTAAATGCTTCTGGTGCCCATTCTGGGTAAAGTCACATAACAGGATTTTGCCCAGTGTGCAATATTTTTGCTCACATTTATCTCAGCTAAAGGGATCACAACAATACAGTAAAATTTCAGCAAGTTCAACACCTAGTGCAAAAAGAGTATCAACAGTATTAAACGCAACTGGTCAAAATTTCATTGAAGACAAGTGGTGAAATGGATGATCTGATGCTATGGCAGCAGACGTACTGATTGCTAAACACACCAGAAGCAAACCACATTTCACAATTTTTTCTGGTTTGGAACCAACTGTAACCAGCTGCTACAACGTAATGTTAAAAGTCATCAATTCTACAGTATCTCTTCAAAATTCATACAAGCAACAGGACAGCACTGTTAGATTTTAAAAGGCTACTGAAACTTTACCAGTAGCTGATGGTCACTTTGCAATAGCCTATTCAGATCTTCTAAGTTCCTCTAACAAGGCGTGGTGTGGTGGGGAGGGAAGGGAAGGGGAGAAGAGTTTTATAAACTTTGTAGAGTTTTAATTCAAAATTCCTTTATTAGCCTTTCCTGCCCTGCCCTTCCCTGTCCTTAAGTCTTGTCAAATACTAAGGCAATACAACAGGATACCTCTAGACATGCCTTCACTTGCTCACTGGAATGTGTATTATAATCTGATAATGCTTAAACTGTAATAATTTATAGTTACATAATAATTACATAATAATCTGGAATTAGCTCTTTTGTTCTATTGGATAAATAATGGCATCAGCCTCTTAAAACTGGTTTTGTTTTACAGAGGCTACTGTGACTGTTGGGTTCCACATTCGAGAATCCTGTGGTACTCGGACTCTGGAAAATCACTTCTTGGAATATTTGCAAGGAAAGGATAGATTCCAGTCTCCATAATTCCCTGCCTCAAAAGGCTAGATTGCCCCTTCCTTTCAGTACTAGTGCTGGCAGGTGATAATCAATAAGTTTGTTTTTAACTTCCAAATGTCCCTACAGGATTGTATCTTTTACAAGGAAGGTGTAGCATACATTTATCAGCAGCTTAAAAAACAACTGGTATATAAAACGAATGTGTTTTTTTCCCCAATCATTCTTCTTACTTAATTCTATTTTAATGATAGTATCTTTATCTATTGTGATTTTATATATGTATTTTTAATTGTTGCATGCCACCTTGTCTTCTATTTTGGAAAAAAGGCAGGATATAAACAAACCAAGCCAAACAAGAGATACAAAAAGAAACTCAGAATGGGTGAACAGGACTTTTCTCTTTATTTGCAGACAGAAGCGCCTGGCAGCAGATTTCAAGGTCCACTTTGTTGCCATTTCAATCTGCAATACTATCCAAAGTCTAGTATGATTAAATGCTGCATGTTTTAAACAGGTTCTTGTTCCCTTCATTACTACTTCTCTGTTTCTGGAGAGTTTTCACTAAAGGTAGAAACCATGTACAGTGGACCCTCGACTTACAGACGGCTCGACTTACAGACTTTTCGAGTTACAGACTGCTCTGGCTGCAAAATTTAGATTCGACTTGCAGCCGGAGAATCGACTTACAGACCAGAAAAAAACCAAAATGGAACAAAAATAGACTAAAAACCGCTGGTTATGGGATTAATCGGTTTTCAATGCATTGTAGGTCAATGGAGATTCGACCTACAGACTTTTCGACTTGCAGCCACCATTCCAATATGGATTAATTCCTTAAGTAGAGGGTCCACTGTACCAGTAAAAGAAGTCACTTTTATTTCAGAAATGCCATGATACAGTACAGAGTTCTTAATCGGAACACGAGTTTTGCAATAACAAGGTCAGAACTTTACTGGAAAGCACACAGAGGACATGTTGTAACACATAACTTTTGCTAGCTTCTTCCTTTTAAAAAAACACATCAGAATTATAAGCTGTACAAAAGAACATCCAAAACCACAAACACAGAAAGGTTCTCCTTCAACAATACTACTGCTGAAAGGACCACTTGCTCCCATTTCAGTGACAGAATCAAACAGTCTCCCCAGGAGTAATAATAATTTAGGCACCTCTCCATTATGATTTTCTAAAAATGCAAAAAAAAAATAATAAATAAATAAAAGGAAGCTATTTTATACTAATAGTACATAGTTGTTAATAAAAGGGCCAACTTGAACCAAGGACCTTTAGCTGTTTTATGTTTCTATTTACTGAATTCTCAGTGTCCTTATTTTTCTGGGCAAAGAAAGAAGCAGCACATGAAGTCCTGGAGCAGCTTATCGGCAAGCAAAAATACAACAAATCTACAGACATTTATTTCTAGAATAGCCTGAAAGGTCTGTAGATCCTGCCAAGATGCCAGATGCTATCACTGAAAAAAGTAGCTTCTGCAGCTTGACATATGGCTCCTATGACAGTCACTCAAAAGCAAAAGAGGAAGAAAGGTAATACAGCCAACACTAACTTTATTCCAATTAAAATATATGTGTACTGACTAAACAAAGTAAATGTGCCAGAACTGAGTTTTCTAGCTCAAACTATATGGTAGAGATAGTCTATTATTCCTTAAGTGCTAAGTAGGAATTCCTTAAATGCTAAGATCAGCCGATTGTCACAGCAAGTGTTACAGGTTTGCAAATTAGCTTTCTTATGTGGTTGCTCCTTGGATGTAAACATGGCCTTCATTTCCTTGTGTAATTGCTCAGTCACGAAGGTTTGCCTGAAACATGTCTCTGTAATTCCAGCTGATATTCAGCTCCCAGCAATAGGATCCCTATGGCATATAGTTTGAGCCCAGTTCTTCATTGACATGTTAGGGTTGCATTACACTGCATTACATGACATAAGGAATAGGTGCTTGTGAAAAGAAATCATGGGGTGAAACCTCTACTCTCTGCACAGCAGCTGTGAGAATAACTCATTAAGGCTCCTAGCTATCATGAGCCTGCCTACATCATTGGTGGGTGCTGTGGACATGGCTGGATGCCCGGCAATGAGGCAAAATCTTCTGGAATA